CTGGTGACGCCAACACACTGCTGGGGAACCTGCTCAGGGCTCCAGCTGCCTGGGTCCCAGGCGGGGCAGCTGCTCGCACTCCCGCTGTCGGGCAGCTGGGATATTCCTGCGGCGGTGGCCCGGGGGTGTCCTGGGCTGAGCGCTGGGGACGGTGCCGGCTGCTCCTGCCTGTGCTGGCCCCGACAGTGGAAGGCACGGTGAAGCCGATGCCCTGTGCTTTGCTGTCAGAGGAGTCTCAGCCTCCGGCATGTTCCGCTTGTGACACCATGGTCACTGCTGTGCGGGCCCCTGGTGGTGGCAGGTGAGCACAGCCCCCGCCTTGGGAAGCCCCGTGCAGCCACGTGGAGGAGGCTGCTACTGGCCTGGACCGGCGTGGCAGGGACCAAGGGACTGGACTGTGGCCAAGCAGAGGCAGCTGTGGGCGGCTGGTCACATGGCTGCCCAGGACGGATGTCACCTCCATCTGCAGATGTCACCACGGAGGACCCTCCCCACTCCCTGTGGTGCCCAGTGGGCTCTGGTCCCATGAATGATGGTCCTATGGGCCGTGGTGCCTGTGGCCCCTAGTCCTCCATGGGCTGTGGTCCCCTGGGTGGTGCTGCAGCCCCTGCCCTGCCCTCTGGGGCGCTGGGTGGCTGTGTCCCCTGGCTTTCTGGCCCTGTGCTGGGCTTCCCTGTGTCCTCCTGGAGCTGCTTCTGTCTTGGAGAGGTCTCTGCACCCAGTTGGCAAAGTCCTGGTCCTGCCGGGGCTCTGGTCGGTGGTGCCTGGGCTCTGGGTGGGCCATGAGTGAGGGGAGCTACGGCCATCCAGGCAGAGCCCGTCCCCGGTGCAGGCCAGACCCTGGCTGGTTCTTGGAGTCACTCCCTGCGTCAGCAGCGTCACCCACCCTGAGGCCCCGTGGCCCTGGGAGGGGCCATGGTGATGAAAGGGGCTCTGTGCTCCTGGGCCTGCCCGGGGTGCACACAGGGCCTTTGTTCTCAGCAGGCCGGAAAGACGACCCCCGGCTGTGCCCCGCAGCTGTCTAGCCGGGTCATGGTGGTGTCTCCTCGGCCACAGCCAGGCCGCCTTGCCCATCTCGCCTGCCTGCGTGGGACAGTGAGGGACAGGCCTACCGCGTACCCTGACACCCCGGGCCTGGGCCGGGCAAAGGCTTGTGGGATGTGAGAGAAGCCCAGGCGCTCTGAAACCGTCCAGAAATAGGGCTGAGGTGAATGGCAGCCCAGGCGCTTCCAGGCCTCCCTGCCGTTCCCGTTGACCAGCAGGGTTTTCTTGTTCTGCAAGGGCGGCCGCTCCCCTGCCACCCCATGGTGGTGCCTGCTGCACCCTTGGCTGCCTGGGCCCTCGGGCCCTGGCTGCTCTGCCCCAGGGGTGGGATGGCAGTGCTGAGGACCCGAGCGCCATCCTGACCCTGCCTCCAGCCCCACGGTGTCCTCCCTCAGCTCTGGCCCCGGGAGGAGGCCGCCTCCCTGCAGACACCCAGGGCAGGTGGGGCCTCCCAGGCCCACCACGGGGGAGCTTCCGGTCCCTGCGGGGTCCCTGCTCTGTGCTGGCCCTTCCTGATGCGTCTGGTCTCCACGCTGGCCATGGCCATGTCTCACATCGTCCCCCCGAACTGTTTGCAGGCTGCCTGTGGCCTCCAGGGCTGGTCCCTGTGTCTGCTCTTCCAGGAAGCCCCGGCTGTCAGGAGGATATGGACTGAGGAGTCACACTCGCCAGTGTGCACTCAGTCGGTTACCAGTGATGATGCAAAGTGTACCTGGAGCAGACAAGGGCACATTACTGGGACCCGGTGCAGGGAGGGAGCAGTATGTGCAAATGCCCTGGGGTAGGAAAGAGAGCAGTAGGGTGGGAGGAGCAGCGAGGCAGAGATGTGGAGGGGTTTGTGGGGAGAAGATTAGGCCCCAATTGGGTGAAGACTGGAGATTGGAGACTTGTGCTCATGGGGTGCTGAAGGAGGCTCCAAGTGCCCAGGACTGGTGGAGGTGAGATGAGGGCCAATGGGACATCGAGGTGGGCTGGGCCAGCCAGGTGCTGTGAACAGGCTGGGGAGGGGAGGGCATCTGGTGCCTGGGCCCGTGGGAGTGCGGGGACCGTGGAAGGAGATGGGAAGAGGCTCCTGCCGGGCAGTTGGAGATCCGTGGTGCCCCAGTGCCCGGAGGTGGGGGCTTGCTGTCTGTGAGGAAGGTGTTGCGCTGCTCCCCTGGCACTGGACTGCATGCCAGCCAGCCCTGGGCCACAGCCCTGCCCCCTGGCTAGGCTCCCTGTAGGCAAGTGCTGGGCAGCCCTGCCCAACAACCACAGCTGCACTCAGGGAGCAGGGGCACAGGGCTTGGTGAGCACAGGCCTTCAGGGCAGCAGTGGAGCCCAGGCCTCCCGGGGAGAGAGTTGCCAGTGCCACAAGGCCACCGCGGATGCCTCCTGTGTAACTGCAGCTCATTTGTCAAAAGCAGGAAATCACGCTCCAGACTGCACCGTCCGCGCCCCGCAGGCTGGGAGGTCCCGGCTTCCACAGGACCCTTCCACTCCAGGGCCCAGGCTGCCCAGTCTCTGCCGGCCTCTAACAGTACGGAGATGACTGGACTCTGAAACCCGGGAGAGCTCCGTCCTCCGATCTCTGCCTCCCGAGTCTGCGCTTCTGCCCGGGCAGCCTCTGTGCAGCGCGGTCCCTCCTCATTTACTGGGTAACTGTTGACATCTGCAGGGACGCGCGAACACCTGCGATGTCCCCTTCTCTGGTTTCTGCCCTTGGGTTGTCGTGGTCCAGCCCGTGAGCAGCGGTGTCCCCTCCCTTCTGGTGCATGTTCTGTGGCAGTGACACCGTGGATTTGAGCCACAGCCGGGTGTGGGGCAGCTGTGGCCTGAGCTGCCCTTAGTGTCCCCTTCTCCACCCCTGCCCCCGGCACCCATTCATCTGCCCCCTGCCCGGTACACATCATCTCTGGAACCCCCGGACCCCCCGGCCATGGGTGCCCCATGGGTTGCACCGTCGGGACTGTGCACAGCAGGGGGCTCCACGCTGACTGACAGCCGCTGGGGCGTGCCAAGGCCAGTGTGTGCGTGTGCGCGTGTGCACTCATGTTGCCCTCGTCCCCAGGCACACGCCTGGCATGTCTGCTCGTGCGGCTGCCCGTGCTCCCTCCCAGCCTTGGGTGACCAGCCGGTGTGGTCTCCTGGGGCCTGGGCCGACATCTGGGCGGGCCTCAGGATGCGGGGTCGCGTGCCGGCCCTCCTGAGTCCCGGGTTGTAGCTGCACCTCTCCCTGGTCTCCCAGGGCCGTGCTCTGTGCCTGAGGGCTCTTCCTCCCCTTCCCACCGCTTTTTTCTGTTCTATTTTCAGCCCCTTCCTCTTGCTCTCCCCCGCTTTTCTTTGTACTGAAACTGAGCCCGGGGCCTGTTCGCTGTGCCCCTGACAGAGTCTCACTAAGTCACTGAGGGCCCAGGCTGGGCTCAAATTTGCCATCCTCCTGCCTCAGGCTCCCCGAGACAGGTGTGTTGCCACCATGCCTGCCCCCAACGTCTCTTACAAGGACAGGGCCCAACCTCCAAACTGGCCCAGCTCCTCAGGTCAGGACTTCCCTGTGGCAGGGGGACTCGCTCAGCCCATGACAGCCTCTTGCTCTGCCTGCTGTCTGGTGTCACTGGATTTGCAGCCCATGAATGCCAAGGTGACCTCAGGTGCCACCCTGTGTCTCCGTGATTTTGGCTGCTGTCCCTATGATATGGGAGCTCCGGGCTCTCCCAGACTGGCTGTAGAGAGACATTCGGCTGGGACCCGGGCTCAATGCAGCTTCCTGGGGCTCCTCCCCTGCCCCTGGCTGCAGCTCTTCCCAGGGACTCAGGTGCCTCCCCAGAACCAGGCTCTCTGGCGGGCTCCGCAGCCGCCTGGCTTCTCTCTCCCATGAGTCTGAAGGAGCCAGATGAGCTCTGGCCCAACAGGTGCCCACCTGGTTCTGCAGCAGACAAGGCCCAGGGAGATGCTGCGGGACTCCCGGCGGGTGGGCGCATCTGAGGTGTGACCCACGCGGGTGCCCTCAGCTGACGAGTGTCAAGTGTCCCTGGGCACCGTGGCGGCCAAGTGGGCCACAGTGGCTCTGCTCTTGGTCCAGTGGGGATGTCTGCCGAGGAAGTCGTTAATCAGGGAGCTGTGGGCGTCTCAGAGCCCCAGCCTGCCTGACTCTGCGGGGGCCTGCAGCAGATGGGTTTCTGCCCTCGGGGACCCCTGCCTGTGTCCAAGGGACCCAGCACCTACTGGGCTTCAGTGGCTGGGTTGGCGCTGACCCCGCTGCCTCACGCGGGGACCTTTGGGGGGGGGCTCAGGCAGTGGGAAGTGGGAACCCCCACAAGGGGCCCTGCCAGACAGCACAGTGCGCCCGTGACACAGTGGTCCTGGATTAGCAACAGCGAAGGAATGCGGAGCGCTAGGCGCGGCTTAAGATCAGAGCCCACCGTCCAGAGGGAGGGCAGCGCACTACTGCAGCGCGGCACAGGACCTGGGAAGGGAAGGGTCTGCGGCTTAAGCGTCTCAGGAATGCTTCCGGGCGCCTGGTTTTTGTCCACCCTCAGGACACCTTCCCTGCTTCTAAAGCTGTCAAGGCCGCTGACCTGGGCCTCACCAGGCTCTCCAGTCCCAGATAAGGAGGCCGGAAGCTGGGGCCTTTCTGGAGAGGACAGGGCCTGGCCCATTGGAAGGAAGGAATGGTTTTATATTTATTTTTGTCTGATGCTGTTTGGTCAGCCTTGGTGTGTGCCTCCTGACTGCCTGTGGGTGCTGGGCCGGCTGTTCCCTGGAGAAATCGTGTCCCTAGGAGTTTTAACTCTGGTCACAACTGCTGCTATCTACGCCATGGCCACGGCCCAGCCACAGAAACACTCATGGGAGCAAAGGGGCCACCGCAAGCAAGCCACAGCTCCACACCTGGGAAAATGTGCTACAAAGGGAGAATTCTTTTGGAAAGAAGAATGTGTGTATATATATGTTTTAATTATGGATAGGTTTTACAGCACTCAGTTTTGATAAACGTTGCATCAAAATATTGCTTATCTCCAGAAGTGAGTTTCAGGTATGAGTTTCCCTTAGCTTCTGCCACGCAATGAGCACCTCTCTCCAGGCTGAGCCGGGGGCCTGTGGGTGGAGTGGGGACCCATCCCTGGGGGGAGGAGACGGCTCTCAGGGTCAGCGGCACCAGTGGGTTCAGGGAAGGGCAGCTGCAGACCCTGAGCCCCAGGGAAGGTGGCCCTCAAGTGAGACAGGGAACAGAGTCGGGAGTTGGGGAGCCACAGACCCAGAGAGCTGTGCGGTGGAAAGGGTTACGTGGACAGCATGAGAGGCTAAGGTCTGGGGAGTCAGCCGGGACTGGCAGTGACCATGGTTCCGGTCCACAGCGAGAGGTTGGGAGGGAGGAGTGGGGCTCGTCCCCACAGGAAATCGGGACCGACCAATGACAGGGCGGAGCTCACAGAGGCCTCAGGGAGACCGTGCCAGGACTAGGCATCCTATGCTGCCTTTGAGCTACTACTGTGAGGTTGTGATGAAACTCAAAGCTGTTGTTAGGCTTCCTGTTAGCAAAAACTGAACTGAAATAGATAGAATCAAGCTTCAGTGTGTGTGTGCGCGTGTGTGTGTTTCTGAGCGAGTGTGCATGTGAGTGCTTGGCCCCAGTGTCCCTGTGGACCACCAGAGGGTTTTTGTGGGTGGAGAGGGAGGGAAGGGCTCGACAGAAGTGCCACTCCTGCTGGCTTCCACGTATCCTGCTACTCACAAGCCGGTGGCCCTGGGCTCAGTGGCCTTGCCTCACGCTGTGACCTGGGACCCTGCCTCAGCTCCCAGAAGAAGCATGGAGAGGGATGTGAGGGTGTGGGCGAGCCCCTGCCCATCCGGGCCCTGCCCCTCGGTCACCACTGCCCCCCACAGGAGGAGGGCCTGTGCCCTCGAAGAAGGGGAGCCCAGTGGAGCAGCAGCGGGGGCGCAAGGGGTGGGACCCGGACCTGTGAAGACAGCCCCCGCTCAGGGAGGACCAGCGTCCCCGAGTGCCACCGACAGGGCAGTTCACCAGGTCTGGCCCTCTACCCCACCGGGCTGCAGGCACAGCGGGCGCTGGCCGCGGGGTCTGGGGGCAGGGCAGGCATGGCCCGAGGTCCTCTGTCACCCTCCTGAGCCAGCACAGGAACATCTGTCCTGTCTGCTGCCCTGGGCTGCTCTTGCATCCCTTTCCTGGCCTTAGGTATCTGCCTGTTCTCCACCCCCCGCCCCGAGCCCAGTGAATCCTCTGCCCACCTGGAAATGAAGAGGATGCTTCAGGGAGACCTGGGGACCTCCATCAGCTTGGGCCTGAAGGCTCCGCAGCTGCCAGACGCTGTGAGTGCCACCAGCTGGCCTGCCTTGGAGGCGCGGGGCTCGGGAGGCTGCAGCTCACGGGCCCACAGCCACTTCCTAGAGTCCACACACTCAGGGTGGGGAAGCTGGGCCTCGCGGAGGCTCGGCACGGAGCTCGTGGGCATCCAAGATGCTTCCCCTTCCAGAGCTGTGGGAGGACCCGGGACAATGGCAGAGGCCAAGCTTGTGGCCCTGGATCCGCATGGCCAGGACGGTGGGAAACTCCTGGACTGTCGGCCCAGCTCGGGGACACTGAGGCCTCCGGGTGGAGAGGCAGTGAGCAACTCTGTTTAGCCCGAGGGTTTTGTTTGTGTTTCCAGATGGGGACTGACCAGGGCCTCTGCACTGAGCTATATCTCCAGCCCTTCCTTCATTTTCATCTTGAGATGGGGTCTCAGTAAACTGCTGAGTTGTCCAGGCTGAGCTCAAACTCAGGATCCTCCTGTCTCAGCCTCCTGGAGTGTTGGGGTCAAAGGTGTGTGCCACCATCCTGGTTGAGTTGTGCTTGTCTTGGGCAGCTCCACAGCCAAAATCTCCTCCGAGGAGCAGCACTTCTGCCGAACCCACTAGCTGTGCAGAGTCTAACCTGACAAGAAGGGTTTGCCCGTGAGTGCCATCAGGAGGCTTTGGAACTGTGGTTTTCAGTGTTCCTCGGTGTCGGGTTGTGGCCCCTGGCAGTTGGACCTCGATGTGCGCCAACCCCATTGCCTGAGCCATCTTCCAGTCCTGTGTCCCCACTGGCCCAGGCCAGGCCTCCCAGAAGCGGCAGACAGGACACAGAGCGGGTGTTGGGGAGCCCGGATGCTGCTCCCACCTGCGTGCCTGTGACAGGATTCCGACAGTCTCTGGGACCCTGTATGAGCCGCTGTGACTGTGGCTGTGACTGGGGTCGTGCGCCTGGCATCTCTGGCTCAGAGGCGCTCGTGAGTGCAGTGTCTGTGGATCTTGCCAGGAAGCAGGAATCCTGGGTCTCCCTCGAGGGGGGGTGAGCTGCTGGGTGGGGAGGCCTGCGCGGGGCCCCTCCTCAGTCCCGCTGGGGTCGTGGGGGTCCGGTGGCCAAGGGCTGCCGTGATGGCCGTGCTGTACGCACGTGCCCAGGCTAGAACACACGGTTTGTGTTGGATAAGCCCACTCCATGTTTCTATTTCGGGAGCCAAATGTTTAGTGGTATTATGGAAATGCGCAAGTGGTGATCAGATGCAACCATTGGCTTCAAAATGTACTGCAGGAAAAGAGACACTGCCACGGGTCCCCACCAGAGTCCTCTCCCCTTTCCTCAAACACACTGCTCCCGTCATTCTTGCCGCCTTTGCAGCAGCCCTGGAGTCCTCTCCGCAGTGTCTTTATGAGCTGTGACCGAAAATGTGGTGACTGCTGCCGCCGAGCGCCGTCCGACAGAAAGGGAGACTTGTAAACACCTGAGCTGGGTCCTCAGCCACCGTACTCACCGGACCTGGCACCGTGTGACTCCCGACTCTTCCCCAGACTCAAGATGACCACGACAGGTCAAGGTTTTGAATGCATCCAGGACACTGAGGCAGCCAGGATGGTGCAGTTAAGACCCTCGAGGAGAGAGGGCTCCAGAGACGCTGCAGGAAGGGGCCAGGACGGATGTGTTCACAGCGTGGGGAAGTTTTAAGGGAGAATCATGGCAATGTCATTTACTGTAATACGTTTTAAAGCTATTAAAAATTCACTGTATTTCTCGAGCATACCGCATCCCTGCTTTTAGACAGGAGCAGCTGTTATAAACAATGAGCAGAGGATGGCGCCTCGGAAACATGAGGGTTTTTTCTCTCTCATAGTGTGTTTAAATACGAATTGCTCCTGAGTCTGTGGTTAATCAGCCTTTTCCTTCTCAGGCCCACTTTGCTCTACTTCTTATTAACAGGGCACCGCCACCTCCAGCAGGGTCACAACACAGAATGTGTTTTAACTGTGTCGGAGCAAGCAGCAGCCATGCCCGGAGCAGCCCTCCTCTCACTGAAACACCGGGCACGGCCGGCACTGCCGCTGTGCTGATTCTCACAGCGGCCACCATGGGCAGCAACCAGATAAGAGCGAGTGAGCAGGACGCCAGGCTTCTGCACTGTGTCGGAGAGAGGCTCCCACTGGGCAACTGTCAGCCTGCCTCCAGGAGCGCTACTGTAAAACAAGCTCTCAGAGCACGGGAGCAGACTGCCTCCCCTCGGTCATCAGGGCGCCCCAAGGTTAGGCCGAACCCCAGGAACAGAGGGAAGAATCAGACACCAAGACCGGGGGACCTGTCTGGAATTTATCTTCTATTTCCTTTTAATAACCCACCGTTTGGTGTTGCATTTTAATTTTTAAGAGACTCAGGTGTTTATTTCTCGATGTTCTAGACATCTGAGGAACTCAGTAAACAAGGAAAGCAGGCCAGAGTACAGCCCAACGTGCACAGGAGCACTGCGGACGTTCACGGAGGCTCCGGACCCGCCCGCCCCACAACTGAAGGAGGAGAGGTTACCTTAGCTCCCAGGTGGGAGCGGTTTCAGTCTGCGGTGGGCTGGCTCCAAAGCAGGGCGCGGCAGAGCTGGGAGGTGAAGGCGGAGAGCACGGCAGCCCAGGCCCAGGGACCCTGCCCAGCCAGGCTCCTCCACCGCAGCGTGAAGCCTCAGAGCAGCCCCTCCCCGAGCTCCACCTGTGAGCCCAGGGAGGCTTCAGGCAGGCATCTAGATATAAACCATAAAATTCACTTAATTTCTGAACTGAAAACCTGGGCTCAGGAGCAACTCAAGGCTTAATAACTTTACAGAACCATCCATGTGTATAAATCAAAGAAAGGAAGCGGTTATAGACGTTGTCATTTACAAAACGCTTGATTAGTAACTCCAGATTGAGATGACCAAATACCCAGTCCTTTAAAACTTCATATGAAAATCCCCACATTGGACATATAAAATGATTGATGCTGTTATCAGGAAAGACATCTAGGGCTTTTAGAGATGAGGGCTGTGGTCCTTTTTTCATGTTTTGAGTCAGTAGGCTGTTTCAGAGCATTTTAGGGTTACAGAAGAGCTGCGGGGATGTGCAGGTCCTCTGGGCATGGGGCCACCCCACCTTGTCCACGTTTCCTGCCCCGCCTTGCTCACCGAGTGTGTTTGCAAAGCTTGCAGAGCCACCTCGGGGTGGGGGGTGGAAGACACCCGGGGCTCCGGCCAGCGGGGGCGACCACTGCATTTCCGGGGGGCCCCCCCGCCATCTCAGCAGCCAGCTCCTGTTCACACCTGGCCCACAGCAGTCGCGGGCTCAGGACGCAGTGTGAATGCGCTGGAGCATGTGGCCTCTCTTCGAGGATGGGAGGCTGCAGCTGCCTCTCCCAGGCCCACGCTCCTTCTCGACTTTCATCCATTTCTGCCAGCGTCTCTCACACTGAGGATTCCAGGCCACCTCGCCTGCAGGGAGTACACGCTCCCGGAGCTGCTCTCCGGGCAGGCAGGGCGGGACACAGAGGATGGGCCCAGGCGAGGAAGTCCCCCCCCTAGAGGGAATCGCTCACCCTGTGCGCGGGACATTCTCCTCTGGGGTGTGTAGCAAGCCTGTCCAAGTGAAAGCCCCCACGTTATGATCACGTCACTGCCGTCACCCCGAAACTGCACACCGGGATGTGCAGTGTGCGTTCCCCCACCCAATAATTTTCCTAGAGATTCTTTTGCTCCCACGGTACTTGGCCCTAAATACAGAAAAGTGCACAACATAGAAGGGCTTTTCTCTTCCTTGTTCAGGCCTCCTGCGGGTTTGGAGGCCACCCCTTGGAGGGGCTGCTGCTCCCTGCGGAGCCTGGGAACGACACACTGGCCACTCTAGTGTCCCGGGGAGGAACTGAGGTCCAGCCCTGGTTCACAACCAGTCTGGGTCTCTTGATCCAGCCCCACTGGATGCACACGAGGGGGCAGCTGTGGCCACAGTGACCCTAGCTGTCTCCCCTGCAGACCCCACTGTGGGGCAGGGAGGAGGAGCATTCAAAACTGCACACAGGAGGCCTGGAGCAGGAGCAGAACCGTCCCAACCTATCAATTCTCTGAGCGCTGATCTGGCTCTGTGTGCATTAGACTAACTGCATCCGCTCTGGAAAGCGCCGGTCCGCCCCACACCGCCCTCGTGGTCTGCAGGCACCTGGCTTACAGCAGTGCAGCCCAGACCTGCAGCTCCCTTGGAGGAGTGGGTGTGTGAGTCAGTTCCTCCGTGGGTTCCTGCTGACCGACCCCGGCGGGAATCTGTGCAAGGCCTGCTGCGGGTCAGAGGTGCGGGGAGAGGACTCATTTTCCTTGTGTGTGGGATTGGGAGGGGATTTTTAAGTAGATGAATCTTATGGCATGTGAATTGTATCTCAAGAGAGCTGTTATTTTTAAAAGGTGGATTTAGTGAGGGCATTGGGTAGAAGAATACACAATAATTGTGACAATTAGAAAATGATGACTTAAAAATGACACTATTTCAGTAACATCAAAAGCGAGCAAATTCCCAGTAGTGAATCTCACAAAAGATGTTGAAAACTACAAAACATTAGGTTCAGATGATAGATTAGAATGATTTAAATAAGTGAAAGGATGTGATACATGCCTGGTTTAAAACATAAAAATTAATGGGTAGATTGGAACCCGGGGAAACCACAGCGGGTGTGTGGAGCGGGTGTGACCATGTGAGTGCAGAGGTCGCAGCGGAGACCATTCTCAAGCTCAGAGGAGGGGATCTCGGCCCCACACTGCGAGGCTTGGTGGAGGCATCGGAGTTGGGCGGCCCCTGAATGGCTGGAGACCTGGGACACTGAGGCAGGACGCTTGGGGTAAGTGTGGGTTTTGCGCAGAGGAGAAGGAAGCTCTCTCTGAAAATGTACAGGGCGCAGCCACACTGCGCACCACATGCAAAGCCCCTCAGAGAGCTCAGAGGAAGCAGTCACGCCTGGAAGACCACACAGGAGCCTGCCTGCCACGGAGATGCTCTCCACAGGGGCTTCTGAGCCAGCCGAGGAGCAGGGACGGGAGACTGGCGTCCCTACCCTTCCCGGTGCGGGGTGTGTGGAACCTACGGGAGGACTGGCTGCAGTGTCAGCGAGCGCAGCATAGGCCACAAACAGCTCCCGGGTAAGTCTGTACAGAGCATTTACCAGGCCACGGAATATTACACAGTTGGTAGCACAGGTCTCGAGCGTTGGCATGTGGTGCTGGGTGTGTCCGGGTGGCCTGCTGAGGCTGAGTGAGCCCCGACATGGGGTCGGGATGGGATGTGGGCTCAGCTCAGCGCTGCATGACGCACGGACCTCTAACCCTGCCACAGCAAGGGGATGGTGTGGGACTCACTGTCGTGCCCTCCGG